AATCATTTTCTCTAAGCAGAAATGCTGTCAACAGTTTGGATTCTCCTGAAGCAGATGTGAGACAGAGTTCGGGGCGTGAGATACTTATCAGGAATCAGCTCCTGGGAAAGGAAGGGAGGAGAAGCAGGAATGAGCAGAAAGAGAAATCAGACCGCAATGCAGGTTCGACAAAGCCTTGCCCAGCTCACGGGGGCCTCTGGAGCAAGAGGCCAGTGACCCAGTCACAGTGGCCCTGGGTCGTGCAGAAATGGCTGGATCCTGCCTGCCTTACTCAGTCACCTGGTGAGGATTGCCCAGGAAATGCTTGCCCTTAGGTGAGGCAGGTCTCTGTCGCTGAGGCAGACCTTGAAGGATCTGACAGTTAGTTGCTGTCAGAAGGAAGTGTCAGCTGACCACACACTTCACGGCCAGGTAGCCAGACCTTCCTTGAAGGCGGATCTGGGAAACTCATCTCCCTGTCTTTCAGAGTCTACAATTTGCACCTTTTAGACCTACTTTCCATATAGGCTTCAAGGGCGGCCCCTTCAAAACTGCAGGGGACCTTTCTTCCTAAGAGATTATTTAGGGGAGGGAGGTTGCGGAGAGGGGGAGGGGAGGGAACTGTAGCCCCTGCCCTTGCAGTTGACCTTGGGGCTGCAGTTGATACTCACCCCCTGCCTCCTTCCTATCCATTCTGGATTTCCTTCACCCTGAGTTTCCACCTCTGCTGACCTCAGTGACCTACCTGGTGGGATGACCCACAACCTCTTCCAGGAGTTATCCAGCCCCTGATTACCATTCACTTCTCAGACCATTGTTGCTGTTTCTATCCCTTTACTGTCACAAGAGACACCTGAGCAGCTCGTATGGTTCCATACACATTTCTCCCTACCCTCATTGTATAATAGCAGCCTAACTTCCTCCGAAGGATCAGGGTCAGTTACTCCTGTCAAGATGGTGACGCCTCCTCTTTCCTGCTGGTCCCTGGACACAAGCAGCTCAGTGTGCACCAGGCAGGAGGTTCACCTTATAATTCAGTGGGATTCCCGTTGTGCCAAAGGACAAAAGTGTGCTTCCTGTGAGGAACAGACCTCAGAGTACAAAGTGTGGAGACAAGAGCACACGGCCTCCAGGTGGTCATCAGAAGTGATGGTAAGTGTGGTTATTCCTGCTTCTGTTCTGTGGCTCCCAGGCCTGTGTCTTCTCTCTGTTGGGGATACAATGCATATACTGCTTCCTGGAGGATAGCACCCACTCCTCACAGAGTATTGCCTTTAAGTAGCACCTCAGCTTGGCATTCACCAGGCTACTTCAATGCTCCATAAGGTGCCAGCTTCACAGTGGTATAGTATGTGATATGACCAGTGGATTGCATGGTCATAGGCCCAAGCTCACATCTCCTTTGCTATAAAGTGGGTTCCCTTGTCCGGCAGGATGTTATACGGGATCCCCTGTTGGAGGATTAAATACTCTGTAATCCTTTAGCTCATGATCCTGAGGCCCTACAGACAGAAAAGGTACATCCTTACCCACAATTTATGTCTATTCCTGTGAGAATGTACCACTGGCCCTTTTAAGATTGAAAGAACCGAATGTGTCAATTTACCAGCAAGTAGCTAGCTGGTATCCTTGATGAACTGTGCCATCTTGGGGGCTCAGCATTGGTCTCTGTTGCTGTCAGATTGGACATTGGTTGATGGCAGTAGCTAAAGAAACCTTCAGGGTCCATGCTATTGGCCTCATGGGTATCTTCTATCTCTGCCACATGGCCACTTTATTCTTGTGCCCGTTGTGCTAGTACTGAGGTGGCTGATGACTGAGATTGGCTGATTATCAATTGGCTGAGTTACTTTGCTGATTATTTATTACTTTTCTCTGGTGGATGTTCTCTGGTGGGCGTTAACATGTGATAAAAAGATTTTTACACTTTAGCCCTACTCCTATATGTACATCCACGTTTCTCCCCTTCTAGAAACTGTGATTCCGTATATAGTCTAACCTTAGGCCACTTATTTTTCCACACAAAGTGGAGAGCCAGGTGTGCCACCTGAAGCTCTGCCCATGGGGATGACTTTCTTTCACCACTGTCTTTCAGAACCATTACTAAGTATGGCTGTAATGCAGCTGCTATTTTCAGGTTGTACCTACATACTGAGCCCATCTGTGAACCAAACCCAAACTTTTCCCTCCTCCTGGTCATTACCAGAGTCCCCACAGAGCCACAGGTGTGAGCTGAGGGAGGAACACAGGTGCAACGGTTTGGATTTGGGGGAAAGGGGGGAATTGGGGCCACCTGCTCATGTACTTTGCACCCTTTTTTGCTGTTTGTATTTGGTTCCAGATGTAACATTTTCATCTTATGTTTTTGCTAGGCCTCCTCAGCTTTGTACTTCATGGGTCTGTTAGGACCCAGCTCATAACGGGCATCTCTGCTATAAGGTGACACAGTGTCATGTTCAGTTGTTCCACATTTACCAGGGTTCAGTAGTACCTAGGTTGTTTCTCAAAAAGAATATAATTCTCTGCTACAGATGGCATGGCCTTGCTCCAGAACCCTAGGGTCCTGTATTGTAGTTCTCCCAGAGTCTTCCTCAAACACTCCGCAATGTTTTCTCCCACCATTGATACCTCCAACACTGCAGGGTCTTCTGGATTAGTGCAGAACTCCTTCCTGCTCTGGTAGCCAATGAACTATTCTTCAGTGTGAAATATTTGCCCAGAAGTCAAATATTCCCCAAAGGGAATATCCCCAAAAAGGCTCACTAAATTTTGTGCTTCCTTCTTTGTGAAATGAAGTACAAGACAAAATAATTTATCTTTTAATTTAGAGAATATGTTCTGGAAGGTTTCTGAGCCCTGTTTTCCTAAAATTTTACTGATGTGCCAGGATTTATCACCTCTGGAGCATGTGTGTCTAATCAAGGCATTCAGTATGTTAGCCACCTCTTGCTTATCTGCTCTGATTAAGGTAATGCCATTAATGTAGTGAAACAATGTAATGCTTTATAAGAAGTCCAGATGATACCCAGGTTTCTTCAGACTTTATTATGGCAGAAGTTGGGACATAAGACCTATGAAAAAATTCTAAATGTATACTGTTGTTCATCCCACAAGAATGCAAATATTCCAATATTCTTTTCTGCTTAAAATTCTTATAGTGGTTTTGGTTTTCCTGACCAAATTCTTATTGATATACTTTATAATATTGCTAAAATTAGAATCAAGGTTCTTATCTCTAAAAGGAATTTTATTGAAACAAATATTAAACCTTAGGTAGGGGGTGAAATTTCTAAGCTTAGAAAGAAGAAAATAAAAAGACATTTATATATCCAAGTTATGTTAAAAATTTTATAACAAAAAAAGCACTGAAAAAAATGAACTAAGCATGCAACTCAGGATACCATTTAAAAAATAACAAAAAGAATTAAAATAATAGAAAGGAACTAATAAAGACATAAGCAATAGTAAATAAACCAAAAAGTAAAAAAGTAGTAGACTTGATAAATAACACGAGTCATTTTTTTTTTTTTTTTTTTTTTTTTTGGGTAGGGGGGCTTTTTCTGGTTTTGGCTTCTCCCGTGGGGGAGCACAGGCTCCAGACGCACAGGCCCAGCGGCCATGGGTCACGGGCCCAGCTGCTCCGCGGCATGTGGGATCTTCCCGGACCGCGGCACGAACCCATGTCCCCTGCATCGGCAGGCGGACTCCCAACCACTGCGCCACCAGGGAAGTCCAACACGAGTCATTTTGAGTAATAATTTTTGAAAAGAGAGAGTAAAACAATTTTAGAGGAAAGCTATTTAAGTGGACATTTTTAGGGGGCTGCCAACATCCATTATCCTTCATAATAGGTTCCCAATTTTCTGTGTGGAATTATCTTCTATTACGAGTTGTTTTGGTGGGAGAGTAATTCCAGGCACCTGCTTTCCAAATGGAAGTTGAGAAATCCATATCCAGCCTCTTTCCATTCCTTTTTATAGCCCAAGGACTGATCAAAGAGTCTCTCTCTCTCCCTCTCTCTGGTGTTTGAGTCTTGAGTTAAGTGATAAGAGGACAAAGAAACAGTTGTGAATTATTTATTGAGGCAGCAGAAGCAGCAGCAGCATACTGGTTAGACTGCTTCAGCTATAAGATAAGCTTCTTTTGATTCCTTTTGGCCTTGTTAAGTATCTTTAGTTCTTAAGCCTAGGTGCTTAGTCACCTGTCAGCACTGTAAACATCCTATTATCTTCCAAGTGAATTTTCTTTTACTAAAGTTAGCCAGAGTTGGTTTGGTGGCTTGTCACTTAGAACCTTAAGTGATAAAATCATGTGCAATTTATGAAATAATCTGAAGATCTGGAAGAAAATTTCCAGGAAAATGGAATTATTGGAATTGACTCAGGAAGAGATAGAAAATTCAAATAAATTAATAGCTAAGAAGACATGGAAAAGTTAAAGATTTAAACCCCCAAGATACTAGGTTTTACCAACTCTTTTAGGAAAGATCATTCTTCTGTTATTTAAACTTTTCCAGAACATGAAAAAAGATAAAGAGCTCTCCAACTTATTAGCAATACTCTAATATACTTATCCAAAACTGGGTAAGACAAGACTCTGAAAGAAATCTATACGCTACTCTTAATTATTAATATACATGCAAGGACCCTAAATAAAATGTTAGCAAACCATATACCATAAACCACGATATAGTAAAAGAATAACGTGCCATGACCAAGTGGGGACCATTTCAGAAATACGGGGGTGTTCAACATTAGGATATCAGAGTAATTCAGTATATTAAAATCTTTAATTAAAATAATAGATTAAATAAGAGAGTCTGTATAATTATATCACAAGATATGGAAAAGGTATTTGATATGAGTTTAACACCAATTCTTAATTTTAAAAAAAGTGAGCAATCTAGGAAAAGAACAAATATCATTAACCTGATAAAGGGTAGAAACCAACAGTAAACACCATATACACTGGTGAAACACTAGAGCCAAACCCATTAGAACTGGGAATAAAAGCAAGGATGCAATATTTCAATACTGCTGTTATTGGAGGGAATAAACATGAAAAAAATTATAAATATTGGAGTAGAAGAGACAAAATTGCCATTATTGCAGATGAAATGACTGTCTACTTAGATAAAATTAATTGAAAACTATTAGACCTAAAGTCAAAGTTTATTAAAGCGACTGGATACACAATCAACATAAGAAAATGACTTTTTCTAATCTGTCAGCAATTAACAAATAGAAAATGTAATAAACGGCTCACAATGACTGACATTCTATACAGTTTACATCTCTTCCCTTCCAACATCTCAGTAAAAATAAATATAAAAATAATTCTATTGTACCATTGAAAAATGAAGAGGGAGTCCATCAACAGGATACAAACAGTGAAGATTTACTGGAAGACATAAAACAGAGAGGAAGAGATTAACTGCAAAACTTAAAGGAGGTTTTGAAATGTTAAACGGATGTAAGTGACAACAATTGTATCCAGAATAAGGGAGACCACAAAGTAAATAAAGACAGTGGAATCTGTGAGAAGTGATAGACTAGGTAATCAATTAAACAAAGAGCAAAACAGTTGAGCCAGTACCCCATTCTTCAGGAAACTTACTTCAGCATTTGCTCCAGGATACAACCTACAAAAGGCTCTCTGCAGTGCATGTTCTAACCTAGTTCCCCTGGAGTGAACACTGGGGCAGGAGAAGCAGAGAACCATTCCAGGTACAACTTCATGGGGTTCAGGGTATCTCTACACTTAAAAAAGCAAGTTATAGGCAATCTCCCAAGGGCTCACATCCCACCCCATCTTCTCCTACACAATCATCCACACAGTGCTCTGTAGTGAGAAGCTACACAACCAGTATGTACGGCACAGTGAAAAGGAAGACCAACCTCATCTATGACTATAGGTGCAAAAATCCTAAACAAAATATCAGCAAACTGATACAAACAAAATCTTAAATAGGATTCAGCAGTGCTAATAATAACATTAACACTTGACAACTTTTTATGCACACACACATACATATGTATATAGGCTCAAGTAAATAATTATGTTAATGTCATAATTTCAGGGTAGGAGAGGCACACGTTTAAATTCAAAAGAAGCAAAAACCCTTTAGTCTTAACTTTGGACATATCAGTACAAACCATGTTTTTTTTTCTTTCTTTCTAAAAATATGTACTAAAGATATCTCCTATCTCTGTCCAATGATAAGGCATAGAAGTCATGATAATCCAGAAGCAATGACCACCCCTTAGTGCCAGATTGTGTTCTTTACATACCCTTTCCTACTAAAAGGAACAAGGGCTCCCTAAAGAAAGGGCTGGGGCAGGAAATGTATAAGATATGTTAGATAGAGACATCTGGTGTCAGAGAGCAAGGAAGCTCTCAGAGGCTAGTAAGTGGTATTAACGACATAGGACCAAACTTGAAGGGTTTCTCACAGCCAAAGATGAAACAATTTAAGCATTAAAAAGGACAATGATAACAAAGGATTTAAGTAAAAATAAATATTAAAAAATAATGAAGAAAAGTTCTTTATGTCAGCTAATAATTGCTAAAGGAATGATAAAATTAGCATATCACCATTTTGCAATCCCTCATGTATAGACGAATCTAGATGAGGATCATTGATAGCTGCTAAAGCCGTCAGGTGAAAAGCTTGCAGGGAACTTTCTCACAGATGGATCAGGGTGATATACTGATCCCACTGATCAATCTTAACAACACCCAAAGAGAAACAACCAGATGTCATGTGCCTCCTCGTGTGATGCTGTAAGAAGTGTTCTTGGAAAAAAAAAATTGAACCTGAACATAATCGATTCTCCAGATCTCACTACCAGGCAACTACCAGTTTCCAGGAAACACAGAGGACAGAGAAACATGGTTTATATGACCAAGAAGATGGGAAATTCTACAAGATAAAAAACTCAGTTTCTACAACAAGTAGATGCCATGAAAGAAAATAAGGAGAGAAAACTGATAAAGAATAAAAGAGACTTAAGAGACATATCAATCAAATGTAATGCGTGGATAGAGCTTGTATGTTAATAGTGAATTGTTATAACGATTTCATTTTTTTCTGATTTCTTTTTAGTTTGTTTTACACTTTATTAACACCTGTTTTATAAACATGACTTAGAGTTCAATGTGGTGATTTTTGAAGACAAAGTGGGAGATGAAAGAGAATTCTAGGCCTAGGTAATTCTGATAGTAATAAAGAATCACAACTTACACTCAAATCACAGTAAGAGAGCAAATAATTTCAAATGGCCTTTGGAATCCCAAAGTGAAAAACTTGTTTTAAAAAAGTCACCTTTTAGAAAGGTAGTTATCAAGTGGCAGAACATTTTGACTAAAAAAGGAAAAAAAAACCAGAGTTGGGAAGAACCTCACAATTCTAGTATGTAAATTTAGAGAGAGCAAAATGTCAGGATAAGACATTATATGAGAAACTAGAAAGGTTTCACTCTCAAAGTTTGATAAGTTGATGTAATTGATGACATGTCACATGATGCTAAAGAGATTTTGTATAATAAACCAAAAAACAACCTTTTATCCAGATTGATGGATCAACAGATTTCAACAACAAATGTCATATGATAGCACTTATATGATGTAAATTGTAGTCAAATTTGAGAAAATTTTTCTGCTATAAAATGCTGCCCAAAACAAGCAAAGGCCAAGATACATTTACTGTTTTGTCTTCATATTGGAAACAAAAGGTACATCTTGGAAGAAATGTGTTGGCAACTGACCGACGGTGCCCTGTCAATGATTTGAACATTGTTCCCTGAGATGGTTCACTTTCTTAAAAGAGAAAATTCTAATGAATTCACAACACCCTTCTTTCCTCCAGGAGAGTTGCTGGTAGAAACTTTTGGAGCTGAAATGAAAAAAATTCTGGATAATGATACAAAAATAATTAACCTTATCAAAGACCAGTTTACCTGAGAACATTTAAAAAACTGTGTAAAAATCTGGACAGAGACCACGGAAATCTGCCACATGCATAAAATCTTATGACTTAAGAGAGCATTTGTTCTGGGGGAAGACAGCTGCCATGTCATGAGAATGCTTAAGCACTCTGTAAAGAAGCCCACGTGGCAAGGAACTGAGGGCACCTCAGAGATTGATCCTCCACTCCCAGTCGTGCCTTCAGATGACTGCAGCCCCAGTCAACATCATGACTGCTACGTCATGAGATCCAGAGCCAGACCACCTAGCTAAGCTGCTCCTGAATTTCTGACTTATGGAGATTATTCAAGATAATGTTTATTACATTGAGCCATTAAGTTTTGGGGTAATTTGTTATACAGTAAGAGAAACTAATATTGATTTTGGTTCTTAACAGGATGCTTCAGCTGAAAAGTGAACTGTGGGAATACTAGGGTCTGGAGAAAATATCTTGGTTTCAAGTGACAAGATTCTTGGTTTTAAATGGAAACTGAAACTCTGGAAAAATCATACGGCCAAAAAAATCTTGAAATGTTTCTACTGTTGCTTGCACTTTAGAGTGAGGGTCTCAAGTTAAGACCAAACCACCTGAGGGAACTGCAGAACAAAACTGAACCATATTTTCCCTCCCTTTAACACAAGTAAATGACTGAATGAGGGTTCCTTTCTCTGAATCTGCTCCTCAACCTGTGCACCTGACTTTGAGAGAAGAGGGAGGGTTTGTAAGGTTATGATTATAAACATAAGATGAAACTTAACTGATTTGCCTTTCTACAAGTTCTGGATTTTTGTGAAAGAGTATCCTGCCATTCATACGAAATAAACATTTTACTGTACTTTCCAACTTCTTACTTGTGTGAGCAAGCTTTTTCTTTGAGCTTAAAAACAGTGACTGAAATAATCTTATTTCAGCTGAAAATGAGATCTGTGTATGTGAGTCTCAGGATCGACTCAGAATTGACCATATACGTAGCAAAAGACAAGCAAAGATTTCACATTATTTTCTTTAGTTTCAAAAATAACACTTTTATGCACATATAGGCCTATAAAATGATTAATATTCATTAAAATCAATTTTTGCAATCTAATAAATTAAATGAAAAATTGAAGTTTCCTCTCCCACTTAATTTGCATCAGAATTGATATCCTATTTTAAAATAACTATAAATGAAGTATAACCTTTAAAAATTATGAATAACTATATTGTACACCTGTAACTTATATAATATTGTACAGAAACTCTACTTCGATAAAAAAATTTAAAAAAAGCATTGAGATCCTTTGTGAGAGGGGGGAAACTACACAGAGTAGGGTAGTAAGTTGGACAAAAATAAACAGATTCATAGAAAAACACCATTCTCTACTCAAAAGAGCACCAAGTTACACAATGTGAACCACTGAACTATACACTTCAAAATGATTAATGTGGTAGTTTATGTTATGTGTATTTTACTACAATTGAAAAAAAGAGTATTGACAATTATTATTGGACTACCATGTCTATGTGTCTATAAGCTGCTGATCATGTTAATGTACTAGGATGGATATATACATATATACGTATATATATGTTTATATTACATACATATTTATATTATGCAGGGTTTTCTGAGACATAAAAATTACTTCAATGGTTCTTCCAGGGTAAAAAGATAGAAAAAGGCTGGTCTAATGGATGGCAAACGGAGCTTTTCCAAGAAGGAAGTGATTGCCAATGGCAGGAAAAAAGAAGCAAGGCAATGATGCTGGCCTGATGGGGCAGAGAAATGGTGTACAGCACTGGAAGGAAATAAAATTAATTACATAGAAGGCCTAGTCAATGTAGAGATTTTACTTTAGACTTGTTGTTAAAGGACATGGAGAACTATTTGGGATCCTGAGGATGGCTATGGTACGAGGAAACTTTTAATAAGTTCAGTATGTCATCACATGCAGTACAGATGGGAGGAAGAAAAGCCTGGAAGCATTTAATTTGAGACAACAAAGATGCTCAGAACGTGAGGAAGTTATAGTTCACTGTAATTATTTCTCAACTTTTGAGCTGCCGTAGATTATACTGGGTGATTTCGGTTAGGAATAACAGAGGAAAGTGTGGTAGTGGCAACAGAAGGCCTGTAACAACAGTACAAGCTTTAGATGGAATGAACAGAAATTGAGCGCTTTAGATAAAAGAGACTGCAACTAAGATTGGGTGGGGATGGTGACAAAGATGATGGAGAGTGCTCAAAGGCCTGAGTCCAAAGATGCAGAAACCAAGAGTATGATGCTACCATGAGGACAAACAGGCAATTGGAATGATGAATAATTTGGAGAGAGCAAGGAGTGAGACTGGGGGTGGTGGTACAGCAAAGGACTGAGGGCTGTGAGAATCCATGGTTCCACTTTGTCCCTCTAACTAGCTAGGGAAGTTACTTCGCTTCTCTGTCAGTTCCTTACACGTAAGATAAAGGGGCACCACGTAATCTTGAAGGTCCCATAAAAGTTCAATGGTTTCATCACACTGAGTTGAGGATAATACTGGGACACCAAATGGAGATAAAACATTGAACGTAAACAGAGTAAAATAGAGCAGGGCAGTTATGAATAATTCTACCTCTGTATGATGTATAGAATTTAAAGTACATTTATCAAATCTGAATAAAAGTTCATTTACCAAAATTTTTTTATCTATATGACTGATGCTTTTTCAAGAAGCTTACACTTTAGTGTAGAAGACATACTGTGATTCCTAATATTTCCATAGTTAAGTTTATGAAGTTCTTCCAATATGAAAATAACCCTCTAAAGAAGGTACCAATCCCCACCCTCTTTCAAAGAGGCGGTTGACTGCGCTATATCAAGGTAAGGTCTCAGAAGATTCGAGTGAAAAGAGACCAACCAAATTTAACAAATAGAGGGTGGCTAGCCTTCTTTGGGAGAGAAGTTTTAGCGGAAGTTGAAGTCAAATATCAAGGACTTAAAGACAGAAGGGGAGAGGGGCTTGTGGTATAGACAGTGTCCTGCGGGGCTGAAAACGTACTTGACAAAGGAATAAACTATCTGGTACAAAAGACAAAAACATGGTCTGGCTTTCTGTCAGGTAACAGTTTCTTTAAAAGGACACACACACACACACACACACACACACACACTTTTTTTTCTTCCTTTCGTGAAACCATAGTACAAAACGACGGGCACAGTACTGCCCACAATCTCGCGTACTTGGAAAGATCCGGAAGAAACAAGCGACTCGAAAGAACGCAGACAAGCCCTTCCACTAAGTTCCGACGCGGCCAGATCCACCTCCCGCCAAAGCGCGGCTCAAACGTCCTCAGAGCCACCGGCAGCACAGTTGCTGAAGCCGCAACCAATTGACGAGCGAGGGGACTGCAGCGTAGCCTGAGAGGACAAGGTGCACGGCCACTCAGCTGCCACCAGGTACAAGCCGATCCGCTGGGAGAGGGGCGGTCCCTGACGCCAGCCATCGCCAAGGGCAACGCCGCGGGGCGGCACTTCCTGCAACGTCACGCTGCAAAGGACGCCGCTATTGTACGTCACTTCCTCCGCTCGCCGTAGGCAAATAGACCTAACTGTCGTAAAGTAGCGGTTGACGTTAGATATTATTGATACCCTTCCATCGCTGAAGGCTTTTTCGGGCAGGTGACAGCGTCCCTGATTCCGCGGGTGACTGGCTGGCTTTCTGAACCAGTTATTCGAGTTTCTATTTGGTTCCCTCCCCACCTCCGTTTTGTGCCGGTACGGTGGCCGAAGAGGCTCTTGTGCGGCGGAAGTACCGGGCGGGAGAGTGTGAGCCTCCGGGCCTGAGGTGCACGTGGCGCCGGTGAGTGGCGGGAGGGGGCCGGTCGGTCTGAGGATGCTGGAGGTGGAACCCAGCGGAGGGAGGAGGGGAATGCAGCTGAAGACCTTGCTGCCAGCTGGGGGAGGAAGTACTCACCGGGGGTGACGGGGCTGGTGAGTGGATGGTCAGCGCTCACAGGGCTTTGGGGAGAGGACACTCACTCTTCGGGCTCGTCGCTGGCCGCCTGGCCATGGGTGAGGTGGCAGGGTTGCTATTATTATTGTTGTCTACTTTTATGTTTTCTGACTGAGGCTCAGAGGGGTTCGGTGGTGCTCCCAGAGGCCACAGTGACTGAAAGGCACGCCCTGTTTTTCTAACCAGGTGGGAGCGAGCATGTCTTTTCGTGGCGGAGGTCGCGGAGGCTTTAGTCGAGGTGGCGGCTTCGGTCGCGGCGGCAGCAGCAACCACCACTTCCGAGGTGGAGGCGGCGGCAGTTTCAGAGGCGGCGGCGGCGGCAGAGGAGGATTTGGACGAGGGGGCGGCCGCGGAGCTTTTAACAGAGGCCAGGACCACGGACCTCCAGAGCAAGTAGTTTGTAAGTAGGCTTCAAAGCTTGGCCCACCGCGGGGCGAGGATGGAGTGGGGTCCGGGGACGGAGGTTGTGGGTTTGTGTTATTAGTAAGTTTGACCGGGAGTCAGGTGCTGAAAGATAGATCCAGCAGCTCTCTCTCCTACGGAGGTTGCTGCTTGATCGGGGAGTCAAGCCTCTGGAGAGGCTGTAAAGTGACGTATAATCGTGCTGTAGAAGTAAGGGGGAGATAAGAAAGCTGAAGGACAGTTAGAATGCATCGTGGAGATGGAATTTGGGTTTGGGCTGAAAGAGAGATACAACTACGTAATATTGTGCGTTTACCCCTACTGTCCCCGTTTTACAGATAAGAAAACTGATTCAGCGTTAAGTTTCTTTGCTAGGGTCATAGTGAGAAGTGATCAGTAAGTGATGTATTTGAGATACAAAGCCAGGTTTCCTGACCCCAAAGCCCATGCTTTTAATTGCTACTCATAACTAAGTGAAGTGTGTAAAAAAACTTGCTCAGAAGGGAAACTACTGGGGGGAGTCAAGAAAAAGACCTAATTAGAGGAGTTTTGGAGTAATTATCAAAGAGGTAGGATGGAAGTCATGGAAAGTGAGACAGAGATTTGACGGTAGAAGCCTACATCAGAGAAGAGAAAGGATGAACAGAGTCTAATATAAAGAGTAGGATGGATCAGTATGCAGAATGGTTTGAAGAGGTCAACGGCTAGAGTCAAAGGTCCTCGCCCCACAGCAGTCCATGCATGACACATCAGAGCATGGTGAAAGTGAGGAAAAAAAGAAGGGTTCGATGGGAGAGATATTTCAGTGGAAACAGACTCAGTAGAACTTGGCTAATACTAGGAATAAAAGGCTCCAGGTTTTGAGCTTGGGTGATAGGAATTGAGAGTCGGTTTTGCAGGAATATGCTGAGTATTTTAGTTTGGGGTGACTGTGAGTCAGATACATAGGTAGTTATTTTGAGATTCCAGACTTCTTTGGAAAAGATCGAAAAGTCATTGGTGAAGAGGTGGTAGTAGGAACTTAGGAAAGGGGAGAAAAAAAGAAAGGGCCAGAGAACAACAAAGACTGACTTAGACTTAGGGATGGGGAGAAGGAAGAGACAATAGAATGAGGCGTAGTGTTGTTTAATCAAATAATAATAGTTATTATAGTAAAATAACTGTTATTGTAGATTGAGTGGTCTCAGTGTGCCAGGCATTTTCTAAGCACTTGACATTTATTATTGCACTTGATCTTCACAATACTATACGTTAGGTGTCAGTACTGTTGTTAGCCCTACATTAAAGATGAAGACACTGAAGCACAGAGAAGGTGAGACCCGTACCCCAGGTCACATAGCTAGTATTTTGTGCAGTTGGTATACTAACCCAGGAAGACTTTTCTGCCTCAGAACAGATATGGTGAAATCCCAGGCGGCCAAGAGGAAAGCTTCCAGAAGAGGTTGGTCAATATCATTTGAAATTGTTTTATATTTTAACATTTTCATGTCCTATTTCAGTATTAGGAGAGTTCCTGCACCCCTGTGAGGATGACATAGTTTGTAAATGTACCACAGATGAAAATAAGGTGCCTTATTTCAATGCTCCAGTTTATTTAGAAAACAAAGAACAAATTGGAAAAGTGGATGAGATATTTGGACAACTTAGAGATTTTGTATCCTTTTTAATTGGAAGATGTAGCTATCTCATTAAAAGGTTACTGTTTGTTTTTTCTGGGGTTAAGTATTGATTAAACTAAACTTTGCTGCTTCATTAAAGTGGATGGAGTATTGCTAAGATTGGACCATAAAGGAGAATCAAGAGGGGGGATGTATTTTCACATATATTGAAAAGATAGGCCTTATAAGTGTGACTTCCTTTTTGGAAGGTTTTAGAAATGATTGCCACTTGGATCAGTGCCACAGGGTTGAGGTACTTTGCTTTGGATGTGATGATGCCACTGCAATAGGACGGTGGAATTGGAAGTTTTAAAACAAAAATTAAAATTTCACTTCTGTTTGGAGACTCATTTCTTACTTTTCCTAAATATTTCTGTATATTCTAACCTTGTTATTTTAAAAACTACACGTGAATTCAGAAGATTATCTTTGATATTAATTGCTTATTCCTTAATAAAATTAATAGTATTTTTCAGTTAAATTGTCAGAGAACATGAAGGCATCTTCCTTTAAAAAACTGCAGAAGGTGAGTCAAGTTTATGATACCTGGATCCTTGGTTTTATAAACGAATGATCTACCTTAGGACAGTTTTACTTAAGGCACTTGAGACTTCTCCAGTGTATCACTAGTGAAGCTCTTAAACTGAGATGTTCTGTATTTTAGACATTGAACTTACTAATCTTTAAAAGTAATGTGTTTAATTCAGGTTTTCAGAAAGTAATCTGTGGTCATATTAGCAATTCTGTAACTGCTGGAGTACATTTTTTATTTTATGTACAAATCTTATTGAAAAGCTTTCATTCTAAGTATAATGTTAAGTTATAAAGCTTATATTATTTGGGAGAAATCAGATATTAAATGATTTCACAGATATTTCAATAACATTATGATATATGCTGTAAAGGAGTCATACATGTTGGTATGAGAATGTTAGTCGTGAGACCAAATTTAGTGCATTGGCTTTCTGAGAATGTGAGTTTGAAGCAGAGACCTGAAAGTTGACCACGGGTGACTCCCAAACCTGGTTGCACATCAGAATTACCTGGGGGAGCTTTTAAGAAGATGTATTTCTAGGTCCCACTCCTAGAAGTTTGACCGAGTAGGTGTTAGGTAGGGACGAGGATTCAGTTTTTAAAAGGAAACTTCTGGATGACTTTGATGAAGGTCAGGCTAGCACTTGGGAACCACTGCTCTAGTCACAGAGGAGGAGGAAGTGCATTTCAAGTAAGGAAAACAGCGTGTGCAAGTCTGACAGTAAAGCCACCTTAAGGATCTGAAAAAGGCAGAGGTAGAGCTTGGACACAGTACATTTAGGAGGGGTGGGGAAAGTTGTGAAGTAATGACTAGCAAGGTAGGCAGGGGCTAGATTACTTAAGGCCTTCAGGTCATGGGAAAGGATTTAGACTTTAGTCTTCATTTTGTTTTTAACTATCAGGATATATATGGTTAAATTTATACTTAAAAGAGAGTGTTAGAAAAATAAAAGAGCACCCTGGAAAGAGGTCAGTACTGTGTGTGAAGGGGCCAGGTTGGATGCTGTTGCTTTAGTCCTGAAAGAGTGGAAATGGAGAAAAGTGGATGGTTTAATGAGAGATATAGGAAGTAGAATCGATAGGTCTTGGTAATTGGTTAGCTATTGAAGATGAAGTAAAAAATATCACCATCTTTCAGATGTCTGATTGCAACAGCTTTGTGGATGGTGTCACCATTCACTGAAATGGGCAGTACTGGAGAAGAAGGGAATTAGGGGAAGATAATGAATTCAGTTTTGGACGTAATGAGTGTGAAGTACATCACACTAATTATTTCTGTTATACTTCCAGTTTTATATAGACCCATATAAGCTGCTGCCGTTGCAGAGGTTTCTACCTCGACCTCCGGGTGAGAAGGGGCCTCCCAGAGGCGGTGGCAGGGGCGGTCGAGGAGGAGGAAGAGGCGGAGGTGGCAGAGGTGCGAGGGGTGGTAAGTTACCTGCGGGGGAGATTTCTAATGAGATTTCAAAGCCGCAGCCAACTTGTATAGCACATTTTAGTCTTGTATAGAGGCGGACCTCCATTATGCTTATTTGTCTTTTTTCATAAAGCTGCTTCCAATCTTGGCACATTACCATAGTAGTAATGCTTAGTTTCTGTAAAGTATAGTATTATCTTAATTGAATTTTAAATTTTTAGTTAACATCATTGAGTGGTGATTATATGCCAAGAGCTGGTCATATATTCTTTTAACATCCAAGTATATTCTTTTAATATTTAGCAAAACCTTGTGAAGGTGGGTGATACCCTTTTTTTATGGATGAGGAAATGCAGGCTTACAAAAGTTAATTTGCTCTAATCACACAATTGGCAGCTCAGAAATAAAACCCGTATCTTCTGATGTCATGCCAAAGACT